CCCGCCTCCGGCGCCGCCCCTCGCTGGGGCGGTCCGGCCCGCACGTGTGTCCCCGCGGGGTGGCGCAGCTGTTCCGCTTCAGCTGGACGCGCGAAAAGAAGCAAGGCGCGTCCTTCGGGGCGGGTTCACCCTCGTGGGATAGAGCAGGGAACTAGGGGGTGCCTTGTTGATTCTTCCCCTCTGTTCTGCACTGGTGAGGCTAGGTCTGGAGCAGAGTATGTGGCCAGGTTGGCTTCCCCCACACTGCGGACAGCACTGGCGGCACACCCCCTGAAAGAAGCGCCGGTGGCGATGCCTGCAGGAGGTCACCGCTCAACCCCCCCTCACTGGCAACACCGCTGGCTGGCGGCGTCCGCGGGTGGTCACCGACCACCAGTCAGTGCTCAGCACCTCCCCCCGCCTCTCAGCTGCAGCCGCCCGCAGCAGCTCCCTAGTTGCCGCGGCCCCACACTGCTGGCGGCACTTGCAGGCGGTCACTGCTCGCTGCCGACACTGCTGGCAGCAACTGCGGGAGGTTGCCGTGCCCCTCCAGGCTACAGGGCCATGGGTCGTTCATGGCAGAAAGGAGGTGGACAAGTTGGAGAGAGGCCCCTGGAAGGCAATGAAAATGGTGAGGGGGCTGCAGGCCATGATGTATGAGGAGAGACTGAGGGAACTGGATGTGTTCGTTTATCCCGGAGAAGAGGAGACCGAGAGGATTTAATAGAGCCTTCAACTGTGTGAAGGGATGAGGGTGAAGCTGGACTGTTCTCAGTGGTGGCAGAACAAGGCGCGATGGTCTGAAGTTGCAGCAATGGGAGTTTTGGTTAGATATTAGGAAGAATTTTCTCACCAAGAGGGTAGTAAAGTGCTGAAACAGCTTACCCAAACAGGTTGTGAATCCTCCATCCTTGGAGGTTTTTAAGACCCAGCTAAACAAAGCCTTGTCTGGGATGATGTAGTTGGGGCTGGTCCTGCTCTGAGCAGGGGGGTGGACTTGGTGACTCCCAAGGTCCCTTCCAACCCTCACTTTCTGTGATTCTATAACGAGCCATGAGGTCAAGTGATGCCCTCAACACTGCCTGACTAGACACGCTGCTGCCACTGCAGGCATTTGGTTTTAAACCGGGTGGAGCAGGAATCAGAGAGAGGTGCATCCATCTGCCCTCCCCCCTGCCCACAGCTGCCCCTGGGGATTTGCCAGCCAACCCCCACTTGCCACCCGCAGAGGCTGTACATATGGCTGCACAGACCTGGAGTCCTACAGCAGGTCATAGGAGCAGGTTAGACAGACTTGTTGAGGATGGTTTTAGTTGGGGGTAGATCCAGAGGGTGCAGTAGTGTAGTTGCTTCCCCCGCCTTTGATTCCACCCAAACTTTGAAACCAACTGCCTGGCAGTGGCAGCAGCATTTCTGTTCAGGCAGCAGTGACTTCATGGCTTATTATAATCTACCTGATTGCTTCTAAACTCTTCGTTCCACAGGTGTTAACAGCCCTCTCTCCTTTTCTAATCATCTTAAGCTAATCAAGAATGCTCTTTTCTGCAGTTCTACTGTGTTAGCTGCTCCTGATAAAGTAGGTCCTATTTCATAGCTCAGCTGACTGTTTTTAACTCTATCGCAGGAGTAGGCAATCCCTGGCACACGTGCCAGAGCTTGGTACACAAAGGTATTTTGCTTGGCACTTGCACCTCGGGGAAGGGCCAGGAGCTGCACATTCATAACGATGATCAGGCTGCTTGCCGCTCCCCCACTGTCTGCCCCAGCACATCAACATCTTACAAGCCAAGGTTGAGAATGTTTTTGCACTCTGCCCAAAAATGTTGCTGATCCCTGCTCTAGCTACAAACATTAATTTAGGTGAACATTAATACAGGTGTGGAAACAACTTTCCATGAAGCATTGGATGCACTGTCAAGATGCTCAAGAAAACTGGAATTGTTTTTATGAACCTGAGAGAAATATAAATTCAATTCTAATGGCTGCAGGATTAAGAAAAACGACATTGTTTGGTTATTTTTGCCTAGTTTGTTGTGTTTTGAATACATAATATACAATATAGCAAATGAGTGCCCATTCCATTTAAGTTGTATTCGTTTTTACTTCAATCTTAAACTGAATAATATATATTTTAGGCCCCTGGCATGTTACTAAAGCTTCTAATTTCTTTTTACCTGGAGAAAAAGTGTGTGTTGTGGTGTATATACAATAATTCCCCACACCATCTGCACCCCACCCTCCCTTTTTAAAACCCTAGATCTGCCCATGGTCAGGGATGCTTCTGCCTTGAGCAGGGAGGTGGACTAGATAATCTCCTCAGGTCCCATCTGGCTCTACTTTCCTATGATTCTAAGACAATCTGGCAAATATTATATGTTCTCAACTAAAAAAAGGATTCTGGTTTTGTCCCTAGGAGGCCCCAAAAGCCCACAGACCTAGTGCCAAAAGTTACTAAATTGACTGTTTCTAATGCCACTACCTTTCCCATTCACTAGTTTTTGCCTAGCAGAATGCATGGCTTCAGACTGCTATAGCTGATGACTTCTCCATCATAAAAGTAGTTAAGACTGCTTTCATTTCTACCTTCTTCTTGTCTGAAATGTGGCAACCGCCCACTAGAGGTCTGTGGGTGCTGCATAGTATTCCAAGTATGGCATAGGCTCATGCTGGCAAATCCCCACAGGCCTGGGGAAAAAATGGTCACTAGAAAAAGGATGTTCACTTGAATAGGGGGAGCTAATTTTCTGCATCATAATAGTTACAAAAAACAAAACAAAACCAGAAACAGTTCCCACTGTTGTGAGTGTTAAAAGCAGGGATTTATTATAATGGGGTTATACTGTATGTTATGGGCCCTGGTAACCAAGAGGAAGTAAACCAGCCTCAAGCTGTTTTGAAATATATTTATCTGTAGTTACCTGCTATATTCTTTAATTGGCATCTTGCAAGTTTTCCGGATCAGCAAGGCTATGGGCAGATACAGGATTTTGAAAAGGGGGGTGCAGAGGGTGAGGTGCAACATCACATATAAAGCAACATATTTTTCTCCAGCTATAAAGAAACTAGAAACTTTACTGATATGCAAGGGCCTAGGGCCATATTATTCAGTTTACAATTGAAGCAAAAACACACAGAACTTCATTGAGTGAGTGAAAAACAGGCTGCAGGGCAGTCAAATAAGAGCTTCATCACCAGGAGCAACAGTCAGCAGAATTACAGAACAAAAAATAGCTTGATTGGTGGAACATCTGGGCCACTAAAAAAAAGAGAGGGTTATTAACACTTGTGGAATAGAGTTTAGAATGGATAAGGCAGATCAGTGTTTCCCAACCTTTTCCAGCCCAAGGTACACTTACATTAATACAATTTTCCATGGCACACCTGTCAAGGCATTTCCCATCCCCATACTTATAAGCTCATTGTTGCAGAAAAATTCTGTGGCACAGCTGGTCAGAGGCTCACAACCCGTGCATCCCCCACAGCCAACACATGCACAGTAGATGAATTTCTCTCTCTCCCCCAGAGCTGAGACATGCATGAGTCTTTTGTGAATATCGCATCGACATGGCTTATTTGTTAGCGCTGGGTGGCTGGAGAACTTTCTTATTATTCTAACATTCTCATGGCACACCAGGGAGCTCTTTGCAGCACACTGGTTGAAAAACACTGAGGTCCATTATAAGGAGCCACAGAGTCAATTGACTCCCTCAGCATTGCCGGACTAGACATGCTGCTGCCACAGCCAGGCAGTTGGTTTTAAACTTTGGGCACAGCAGTTGTTTTAAGCTTTGGGCACAGCAGTAATCAAAGGGCAAGTGCACACCCTGGATCTGCCCCTGCATAGGGGAGGGGGAGGGGGTGTGGAGGAAAGGTGTGAGGCTACAGTGAAGTTTGAGGGCTGGGAGACTAGATGTCGTTTTGCTGTAACACATCCTTGGTTTCAGCTTTCTTAGAGCCTTCCCTCAAGAAGCAGATGCGTGCCGGAACAGCCGGGATCCAGTGGTTTGAGGATGGGCCTCTAAGATAACGTTGGTTCTCTTTTCAGTTTTTAAAATCCTAGAAATGTCCCAATGGTTCCTGTCTCTGTTCCACTGAGTGTTGAAGTACTTAATATAAAATATATTTTATATCATTGAGTGGAGTCTTGAATCCAGGTCTTGGAGTCATGTTTACTATTTTGTACTCATTCTTGCTCTCTCTGGCTCAGTGAATATCTGCTGTAATCTCTGGAAGTGGAACGTCTTCAACAGGAGGCACTTAAGAGAGCTTCATACCAAAATATCCTACAACCTGGTGATTAAAGCATTCCTGTTAGAGACATGGATTCAGTTCTCCTCAGGTGCAGGAAGAGAAGTTAAATTCAGCTGACTCACAATATGCATAAGTACTTTAACAAGCAGACTATTGGATAAAAATGTGTTTGTGAGAAAGGACAGGTAGGTATGTGCTTAACTGCAGAAGCATTTTAATGGAAAATAGGCACCTCCTCGCACCTGTTGAAGGGTGACTTGAGTCTAAAAAGCTTAGAACCACTAAGTCCTTGAGAGTGTGTAGGGACACACTCTGTATAGGATCCTAGAACAGTAGGGCTGGAAGGGACCCCACCAGGTCGTCTAGTATGTCTACAGCTCACTTCAGCATCTCCTCTCTCCATGTGTTGCATTGGAAGCCTAAGTCCCTAACTTAAGGCTGTGAATTGCAGCAGATACTTCCTATGTCCTTTTGTGGGCCCAGGCCCTCGCTGCCTAACCTCTGACAAAAGCAATCTTGTAGCCAGCCATTTGGAAAGTTGCCAGGAAGAATAGTTAATTGGTAAGGACCCCACCACTCAAGGGGTGTCCCAAGGGGTGTCTATCCCAACAAGAAGCAAGGCGGGCAGGAGTGTCCAAAAGCCCCCCTGGCTCACCAAGGGTGTCCGGGAATGCCTGCTTGCCAAAAGGGTGGCGTACGCCCGGTGGAAGGGGGGTGTAATCTCCAAAGAGGAGTATACCTCCTCTGCTCGGGCCTGCAG